TCCCTAATCAAATGGCATATCAAAAGCTCAAACACATCAAACGAATGGATAACAACTGTCATATTCCTGACTTGGTACAGGCATTTTCTTATGTAGAAAATTGTGGATTGAACCTAGTTTTATAGCTAGCTAAACCTCTCACTTGTATGACAGTCGCATCAAATTTCATTATATTGACAACGATGCGTGAACAAAACAAACAGCACAATAGGTAAAAATGTCAAAATATAGGGGTACAGCAGTCAACATTGTGTTGATTTGATTTGATTTGCCACAAAATCATTATTATCAATTAAATGCAATGAAAAATCCCCTTTGGTATATGTACAAAATGGCACGTTTCTTTTTAAGTATCTTTGCTGTTTTGATATGATTGGAAATGGAAAATTCTTAATACACAGGCCTACAGATGGGGTCAAAATCCTCAAAGCAATTAATTAGGTTTGTGCTTTTAACATGCAATATTGGTGTTAGTTTGGGATAAAAGTATCAAGGATTGGTTTTCCGATGGTGACAAACAATGAGATTTGTTTATAGATTTATATCCTTGACGCATGTAGTGTTATGAATAAACACATCATAGATACAACAAGGATTAAACATTTTCACGCCAGATGCGCGTTTCGTTTTCAAACGCTTCATCGGTGACGCTTGAGTCAAAAAATGTTACAAAAGTCAATGAATCACAGTATTACAGTTTATTACAAGAGACTCAACAAACACCACTAGACATATACCTAAAGAATCAAAGGCGACCTTTGTAGTGACCAATTTGTATTTTTATAAATATTCTAACAAACTTTATTAACTCTAACTAATTTAACGTTAATAGTGGTAACTAATTTTCAAAACTTGGTACTAGAACTTTCAAGTTAATCCTCATTCTTAAATTTAGGATCAACGCAACGACTTTCCGTGCCTTTCTTTGATTATTCGTTCTTGACTGTGATGTAATGTACACTTAGCCTCCTTTTAAGTATATTTCCTGCAAAATCGCAGATTTTAATTAACGTAATAGTGTCACTATATCATCATTCAAACGGGTATTTATCATACACTGATCAAACCTTATACTAAAGGAGTAAGTTCGATAAAGTCTACATTTGACCCCGAAAATAAAGCCTATTGTTTCAAGCTAAAAATGTTTCAAGAAGAAGAAAAACAGTAAAATATAACTATTTTTGTATAGTTTTTCTCGTAAAGCGTTAATAGTAACAACGCAAATAGGCAAAAATTGAGATTTTATAGAATTGTGACAAAATGTAGGTCTAGGGAACATTTAGCGCAGAATTCGACAACTCAATATTCACAAATCAGATATATAAAATGTTATAAATGTTTTTTAACATAATACAGAAATATTTTTTTGTCGACTCATCTGCTCTATGTTTCTTGTCAAAACTATCAATAAAAACCTACCCTTTTTTATTGAACTTTCATGAAAAATCAAAAATGAGTGTCTTTGTGACGCCATGAAAAAACGAACGTAAGTTAATTTAAAAAAAAAGACATGTTTCCTATCTGGTCATTGTATTAGCTTTTGTCAATTGTAATATTGGTCATTGAATCCTAATTTAAATATCTAGCTAGAAATAGGGGATATTGTATGGCCTTATCGAACCTACTCCTTTATCACACAAAAAAAGAGATTAATTTGTAAGTATAATCCCACTCCTACAAGTCTGATAACGTGTGATATTTCACACACAGAATTTCGCAGTTTTTTCTTACTTTTTTGACAAATAAATTCAGAAAAGAAAAACACCAACGATTCCAAACGTATAAATTAGTACCAAAAACAACCATTTGGCCTACACAGTACTCATCAATGGCAATCGAAACGAAACAAATTTTAGACTATTCGAATCCGAGCAATGGCTTATGACAATGCAAAGTCAAAGTTTTTAAACTAATTCAATATGTTAACAAAATCGCCAATTCAGTCAAAATGAATTTAAAGAGACAAAAATTACACCAGAATACAATTTGATGACTACTTAAGTGACAGATTCTAAAAAAAAACGTTGATTCTTGAAAAAGATACCACGTCTTCTAAATTGTCACTGATATGATTTAATTATAACATAAGTACCGGTTATTTTATTATATATCTCGATGATGCTTTTAACAGCATCATGTGGAATCGTTTATTAATGTTGTGATAGTAAATGTGTTTTTGCTGTGTGTTTGTTAATTCTACATTGGCTAGAGGTATATGGGGAGGGTTGAGATCTCACAAAACATGTTTAACCCGCCGCATTTTTGCGACTGTCTCAAGTCAGGAGCCTCTGGCCTTTGTTATTCTTGTTTGTTTTTTAGTTTTAGTCAATTTATATGTTTTGGAGTTTAGTATGACGTCTATTTTTACTGAACTAGTACACATTTTTGTTTAGGGGCCAGCTGAAGCCCGCCTCCGGGTGCGGGATTTTCTCGCTGTGTTGCAGACCCATTGGTGGCCTTCGGCTGTTTTCTGCTCTTCGGTCGGGTTGTTGTCTTTTTGACACATTCCCCATTTCCATTTTCAATTTTCTTTGTTATATATAAACTGGAATTTAATAGATGATAATGCAAACTGTTATATGCTGATTTGCATTATTTTTTTATGTACCGGTTTTCCATTGTTTGAAAAAAAACTTCTTAAACACCTCCACATGTTCATCCCTTTGACTAAAGTAGAGGAACTTGTCAAAAGCTGTCTTAAGTTATGTCTTAGTAATTTTGTAATCAAGGAAAGGAGTAGGATCAATAAGTCGCATATTTGGCCACCAAAATAGTACAAATTGCAAAACTACCTTACATAGTCTCGAATTTGCCCAAACAAGATTATGATAACATTTATTCAGAAAAAAAATTATTTCACATATGACGAGTTACCATGATTACAAACCATGACGAAAGAGTATATTTTTTCAGATTCTCATGATTTTTAGGCTCTGTGTCAATTCAAGAGTATATCTTTATTGGAAAAGTGGCATAGTAAAATTACTACTTTTATTAAGTGTGATATATAAATAGCTACAAAAAACATCTCAATGGTATATTTTTTTTAAGTTCCCGTCTCGAGTGCAAGAAGTCTTTGGTTTGATACCCAGCCTGGTCAAACTACATACTGAAAATTCTACACTGCATTTAATAATCTTGTTCTCTATTTTTGCTTATATGACCTCATGAAATTGTAAATTTTGTCTTTTACATTTCCAAAATATTATGAGGAAAATTGAGGTAATTCTCAAAAACTTCGTTTTATGTGGCCAAAACAGCCCCTCAGTGTCCAATATGTTTGGTTCTGATGGCAGACAGTTTACAAGGTAATTTAAATTATTTACAACTTGTCTAGACATTTGTTTTTTCTTGAAGACCATCTGTTGACCTTTTCGTGTCTATATAATTAGTTTTGTGTTTGTTGAGAAGGTACTGTCTTACTGACGTACACCCACATCTCTTGTCATACATAATCATCGTCGAACAAGTGAATTGTGTGTTAAACGTCAAAAAACATTTATTTTGTAAATACTATATGGAAAGTACTTTATGAACATAGTTTTTTCATGAAGGATGTTAAATTCATTCATTTGCATGTGAATAGAAAGCACAACAACAAAAATACCAAACTCAAAGGAAAATTCAGAACGGAAAATTCTTTATCAAATGGCAAAATCAAAAGCTCAAACACATCAAACGAATGGAAAACAACTGTCATATTCCTGACTTGGTAAGGCATTTCCTTATGTAGAAAATGGTGGTTTAAACCGGGTTTTATAGCTAGCTAAACCTCTCACCTGTATGACAACCGGGTTGGAATCTTTGCTGTTGGAAAATAATACTCCAGAGGATTATACCTTGCCGGTAGCGTCACTACATGCAAAATAGTAGAATATGTACTAATATACTGGATAACACGTTCAAAAGGATGTCCATAATCACCTAACAAGATCATCCGGTACAAATATAGTCGTTCTGATCATATTATTATCGGGGACTTTGACATCGTAAACAAACAAAAATAACCGTAATGTTGAATTATATAGCCAATACTTCAGATTTTGATGGATGCATTTGCGGACTCTTAAAGATAAACTTTCACTAGTTACTTCATCAAATTAGACTGCAATAATACAATACTGTAAATTCAGAAATTATTGCGAGGTTTTTATTAATGCGAATATTGCGACCGGGTGAGTATCGCAATAATAAGAATTCGCATTTTGATAACTGAAACATAGATTTGTATGCAGATTTTTTTGAAATCGCAATAATTAAACTCGCATTTTTGTCCGTTCTTGAAAAATCGCAGTAATATATGCACGCAATAATTTCTAAATTTACAGTAGCTATTTTACTTTTTACACTTCTATTGTCCATTCTCAATGAAAGATCGATTACATCTCTTCATTAAACAATCCATTTTATCCATTTACACATGTATATGATACATCTCAATTAATATGTCACGTGAGTGAATGTTCAGTTTATTTGGAATTCACAAATAAGAGTGTGCTCCTGACAATAATACTTTTACAACAGGATTATATATTTCGATATTTACTCAAAACGAGGCAACATAAGTTTTATGGTCCGCCATCATTGTAAATTGATTGACCGATACGACATGTGTGCATTTCAACTTACAAGCGACATAATTATTCGATCTTAGAATTTTTGATACGTGAAAAATCGTCTGATCTGTACATTACCGGTGATGCATGCATAGCAGGAGACGGTTATGCTATGGACGCACTTGGACACGCTTCGTTAATAGTTCATGCTATTCCTTAAGTGTGTGTTTTGTATAATAATTTGTAGATTTTTAATTGATCCAAGAGATTCCAACATCGATAAACTACTGTTTCCTTTTACTTATATATGTTATATTGTAGTGAAAAGTATGTGTGCATCAATCTTGGCCTGATGAATTCCCCCCCCCCCCCCCCGCCCCCCCCACGCCCCCCCCCCCCTCCGCGAAGACTTGGCTAGCTACATGTTATAACAAAATATAGTAATACTGTCTGACAAGATTTATTAAAATTCAAAAACAAGTTATTTGTCGAGTGGGGCTATTATATATATTACAAGTTAAAAAGGATTTTTTTTTATTTCATACGGTAAAAGTTTGAAAAAGAATTAACATCAGATGGTCTTTGAATTGTACATTGTTACTGCCACAACTGCCCACTATTTTCTGTATCACCTGCAAGTAAACAATTGAATATAACTGATGTAAGCTTATACTTTTGTTACAAAATACAATCATCAGATCAGAATGCCTCTTTATGTTTTCAATCGTTTATGCAACCAACCATAGAGCAAAGTAATGATTCAGTTCGGATACGTAAGACTTTTACTGTTTGCTCTGACGGATGTCTGTTCATACTGGCCAAAAAATTATTTGATGATGCGTGTTTTGTTTCGATAATAAATTGGAATACACGGCCTTTCCAAAAGACATTTCCGTTTAACATCACTGTTCCAATTCTGTGGACTTAGACGTAGACGTAACAAACAAGGTTTGAATACATATCAATCTAATTTGTCTTCCTTGATATATATTTTTATATCTTTTTATAATGAATATGACAGTTGTTTTCTATTCATAACGTCGGTTGATATAACGGAGCGTTTGATTTTGTCAGCTTTTATGGACTTTCCCCCTTTTGAATTTACAGTGGAGTTATTGTTGTTTAAAATCTTGGATAATAATTTCTGTAATATATTTTTGTTGATCCAACCTAAGATTATTTATATGCTTAAAATATTGTACCGCTATCTGATTTTGTCATCATTGAGCATTTTCCTTCTATGCAAAAGAAGCTTCCATAACAGCTACATTCTTTGTCCTCTTTACATGTCCGGGTGGTTATACCTTCACATCCACTCTGAAAGAAGAAAGATGTTTCTGTCGTTAATTTCCTGTCCTTAAGAATATTTTGAAATAAAAATTGATAAAATAAGAATAGGATAAAAATAAACAAATGCTTAAATTCCACTTACTTCAAGACCTGACATAATGGAATAATATGAGTTTTTTGCAACCACTGGGTCGATGCCACTGCCGATGGAGGTTTTCTCCTCGAGTGTATCACCAGCCCAAGAGTCAGCACTTCTGTGTTGACATGCATTATCATTGATATGGTCATAATTATGAATTAACTGTTTTACAAAATTTTTAATTTTTCGAAATATTAAGATTTTCTATCCCTGCAATAGTTCGGAATTGGGGATCCTCAATGCTCTTCAACTTTGGACTTTATTTTACCATTTTAGAAAGTCTGATTTGGACGTCACTAATGAATAGTTTGTATACGAAACGCGCGTCTGGCGAATTTTTATTCGGGTATCTAAGATGAGTTTATGAGTAAGTTGGACAATCTAATAATAAATCAATTTGATTTCTTTACAAATTATCTAATAAATCTATTTATTCCAAAATAGAAGGAAAAATGAAAACCAACAACAAACAAACAAAAAAATGCTCGTCTTGTGCCTTCTTTGTTCATTTCACGCATTAGTTTGAAAGGGTTATAGCGTGGTAATACAACATTGATTTTACCTATCATTCGGCCCTACAATATGTTTGAAGGTCTTCTAGATTAATGATTATTGGTAAAGAAATCGGCTGCCTAAGGGTTACAGTTTATAAGTCTTAACAGTCGGTGAAATTTTTGCGATGTGTTATACTATTCAATTATCGCTAAGGTGAAAGTCTGTCTATAGTACTGGACAGGATAAAACTTTACTCATGCTAAGTATTTCTTTATTTGAAACAAAGGTAAATTCTGCACAAATTTTTGAAAAGTGCAAATTTAACAAAGACTAATAGGGGAAAAGCAAAGGTGGTATTACAACTAATACTTCTTATCTCATATCAAATTACCTTTTCAAAAATCATAAATGGACTGGAACAGCGGGCCTTTGATTATATTTTATATATTTTATTTAGACGTGATGGGTATTAGTGAACTTTTTGAAAAAGGAATTCAAAACTATTCTATAGTTGAATGACTATCATCAAGTCATTTACGATATTGGAAATATTGCTTTACTCATAACATGAACAAGAATAAGATTTACGTTTTGTGAAGTGTCTCTTTGCTATTCAAATATAGCGTTGGCCCAGTTATTTGTTTCAGATGAGTATAGTTCGGGACATCGATTAAATACAACACCGTTGTTTTGTTTGAACACTTCAACTGTTACAAATGATATAACAATTAAGTCGTGTATGTTTGGGAGCATATGGTAGTGTATGTTATCTTCCTTGCGTGGTCTTTGTACTATCCTCAGTGGTATGAATTGTAACTTGTGAAACCTGATCGATAGCTAACTCAAACTCCAGCTTGTATGCCAGTTGTGCGTAGTTCCGTTATATTGACAAAATTGTAAATAAAGCCATTTCTAATCTGATATCTTTCATATTTATCTTATTATTTGATTGTATTTGTTTTGACTCATTCTGTTATATATTTATTTCTTTGACAGTGACATAAAATAAATATAAAAACGTATGTTACCAATGTATGTACGCAAGACACTTAAAATTAAAAAAAATTGCATTAAAAACTATTATGATACGTCCGTCAAGGAGGTGCCTAATATCGAATATAAAACGACGTTAAGCGGCTTCTTTAGAATCTAGTAGATGGTTCATTTTTTCGCTCTATTCGTGAGATACACATCTATATTTCGCTAGCATTATTTGTCATTGTGTTCCCTTTATTATTCGACTCTTAATGTTACAGCAAACGCTTTTATTGCATTTTCACAATAGCCTTATTAACGGGTTATTTACGATTAACCAAATTAATGTTAAAATTGGCATCGCAATCTGCCCGACCGTTAGCAACGGAGTAAGTATCATGTTCTGTTATCTATCATTTGTTTAAGAAAAAGGAAAACAAAAGGAAACCTATTGTCTTTGTCTACAAGAAAACAAAAACAATTTGAAAACAGAATTCCGTAAGTTAGCACTTCAAGAATAAAGGTGACCGGCTTTTCCCGGTGAAAGTCAAACACGCTTTTATAAACTCGGCATAAACTTTTATAATATGATAGCATTTTCTTTATATTTAATCCTAGATCAACTTTTGTTTTGTTTTTTTTTTTTTTTTTGGTTTAATAATTTTCGATTAAAATGTTTGAGCCGTCAAAATCGTTCTTACCAGTCTTTTTCATTTCTTTACTTCTTTTTGACGACAGAATAGACAATTTTAAGAAAGTAAAAAGTTGAAAAAAGACCTACCTGAAATGCGTGGTTGTCCCGACAAATATATCTATATTTTTATTGATTAGCTTATTTTAAACATAATTTGATGCATTTTAAAATCAACATGTTGATAAACATATTTTATAACACGGATCCGTTTTCTTGCCCCATGGAGCAATATACCGTCGAATTAGTCGTAAAGTATTCGATATGGATACACTTCGTGGACAATATGTAAATTTTGTGACATAGAGTTTTGGGTATGACTGTAAAAAGCATTGTTCTTTAGTCATATAAATAATACTTTGTATTTAATGATATTGTTGTTATGTACAGATATCATATCAACTCTGTTAGTACGGTGACAAGTAAGGTAAATTTAAAAATTTAATGGACCGAAATATCTCACGGCTAATTTTGGTCTTATTTTGACGATAAATATAATGCCCTTTGATTAAGGCATGTCGTAGAGTGCTAAAGTGATGTAGACTTTTTAAAACTGTAGTCAAAGGTCAAAAGTGGGATTTTAAAAAATCGAAATTTTTGGACATTTTGGACAATTTCTCGGTAGTCCCTCATGATAACTGATAAAAATTTTCTATGGAATCATGCTCGGGGGATGCTCCACAAATTCAGCTAGTCATATTTATGCCTGATTGCCAGTGACGTTTACCCCCGCTTCCAACATGTAAGAAAATGAAAAAAATATCTTTATCTACGGAAATTATCGACAAAAAACATTCCTCTTTAATATTTAGCTATGCAATAACATATGACAATATATAAAGATATTTTTTGGAAAGTTTTGTTAAAATGCAATAAAGAACAACGGAGAAATAGGTACTGTAAAGTTAACAACCGGTCCATGATTTAATGAAAACATGATGAAATTTATTACTGATTATTTAAACCCAAAAGAATGTTGGAACTATAAAAAAGTAGTCTTGATGCATAAATGTCAGCATGAATACGATAGTATATGAAGTTTTTTTTTATGTTAATAGGTCAATTAGTACAAGAGCAATAGTAAATTGAGAACCTGTGTCCCCCTTTTTTAAAATAACACGGCAAAACAATGGCATATATAGCAGACTTGACTAAAACCGATTTGAAAGTCCGATATATATGTGAATTACAAACAAACTCGATTCACAGAGATATTACGCCACAAATGAAGCTGTCTACGTATAAAATACACTAACACTAGAGATCAATATGCACGTCCATTTGAAAAGGTAACGGAATACTAAGAAACAAATATGTGGATGTCATGGTATGTAATACTTCCGATACAAATATTCGATACAAAAATATCTCCAGTTGATTCAAAACGCACCAACCGCGTCAAAGTTCGAGACCACTGGCATGTTTGTTTGTTTGGTTTTGGTTTGTTTTGGGGTTTTTGAGAGAGAGAGAGAGAGAGAGAGAGAGAGAGAGAGAGAGAGAGAGAGAGAGCTCCCCAATCACATCAAGTCGGAGGCCACTAACAACAGCAGAAAACTTGAAATATTGGGCATTGAGATTAATAGTTCAATCATCATCCTTATCGTAGCAATCTTCTAAAACAATCTGATAAGTAAGCTGGTTTCTACAATCACCACTGGCCTGACATCAACACAAGCTGGTGCACGACAAATTCTGCTCGTAGCATACGCAAGATTTGCTACAAATAGTTTTGTCTTTACTTGTACAAACAAGGTCCTGTAAAAAGTCAGAGGACATTGGATTCAAAATACTAGTATACTGAACCTTTATGGAGCTATTTACGATTTCCATATTCCAATGGTGACCTAGGTGGTGGTTTGGCAATATAAGCACTCATCCAGACGTACACTTAAGAGTGAAACTCGAAGAATGTGCTGTCTGAAAGATGCATCTGAAGGAGGTAGTCTCACTATGTAAGCACCCTTAGAAAGCGCTGACTTCACTCTTGAGTTTATTCAGATCACCATGTACTGATTGAGTATTGCTTCTGGTGTCATATTGATCTGCGATGAATAAACATTTCACTGCAACAGATGTGTCAATATTAGAACCATCTAGATTGACAAACTTTGATTTTTGCATGGGTTTTGTTTCGAATCCTTGTAATTGTCTTTTTTACCAATTCCTAAAGAAGACGTGTCACATCCTGTAAGAGCGTGAGCAGCTGGTAGTGTGCCAGACATCAGTGGTCCAATAACTAAAAAAAGAGTCGTAAACAGGTAAAAACCGTCTTTCGTCTTTGGTTGAAGAAACGCTTCCAGTCTGAAACCACAATTCATCATGTTTGACATCTGAGGAAAGGACCTTATTAGAAATAAAACATAAGTGTCTGACGCTTTTAATATAATGCGACCCCTGGAATAACTTTTTACCATCTGTTCATTAGCAAACAGAGACGGCAGAATGAGTCTTATATCTGCCTCTTCAGTCACTTACAGATCCGTTACAAAATTGCGTCACAGTCTATAGATTTTGAAAAGATCCCCCTAGAAATATTTCGTCAGTCTTGCAAATCAAAACCATTGCAGTGCGGGAGTGCATAGTCACCTACAAATCTTATCCACCACTGTTTATTTTTAGGTGCACAATTAAAGACATTTCTTACAATCTCTAATTGATCTGTTTTCAATGACTTGAAGAACATTCGATCTACCACCAATTGAAATAGACCATGTTGTCTCTTTGACAATTCCCCGTTTCCATTCTCAGTTTTACTCCTTATTCTTTCTGCTGATTTTGTAGAATATTCCACATCATATCAACTTAACACGTCTACGACACACCACAAGTTTTCAAAACAAGCTATTAGGGTTTTAAAGGCGTCCTTGGCCAAATCTCCAAAACTGTTGTACCTGTTTACATAAAGACTTTGTACAATACCCATACCATCTCTGATCAGGGGTGTGCTGGTTTTTATGCAGGGATATCACACACTCAGCTAAAGGTATACATTTCCATACAGTTTCACATGAGAGTGCATTGTAATCATTATTCATAAATAATTGCCATCTACGAACCAGGCAAACATATTTATCAGAGAGGTAGGAATAAAGTTTAAAGCTGTTGGAATACTAAATTTTGACGGAAATAGATAGTCATGATTTGAATTTTCGAACGATTGTAAACTGTTTTTCACATTTTTTTTCCACATCATGGAGGATCTGGAAGAAAGGAACAATATGTATCTAGGAAAATATACGACAACGAAAATCCTTTTTTTCACAAACAGATCATCATGTAGACTTTCTGTTAGTTTTTGGAAAGCAACATCATGCTCCGACTGATTTAAAGCATCAGAAGCAAGTTAATTTCTACATTTCAGCCAGTAGTTAACAATGCATGCTGAATGATGCAGTGCCTTGTCCTTGAAGTAATCTATAGAGAGTAAACTTACCACTGGATAGTCTGCCTGATAATTTGCGCCATTTAAAACATAATCGGCACGCTCAAATGACTCGACATGCATTAATTGCTTATCTCGTTGTATGACTTTTGTCCACAGAATAAACATTTGAAGCAGTCTAATGGTAATGCCATGGAGCGTGATTTAACGAATGTTGATTCATCATCACACGCATTGGTTTTTCCCTAATTCAAATGTATCAAAATGTATTCTTCTTGTACATGTATAGGCTTTATAACACGACCTCAGCTACTTTACTTGTTCTTATTTAATGGAATTAGCACTGCACATAATTTTCCGGATTAATTCTGATGTGTTCCAATGTGGTTTAAAATTAGTCTATTCGAAAAACTCAACAAGAATAAAAACACTTCAAAAGTTATTATTTAAACCTTAACATCTGTACTTATTCAAACATCTAGACACAAACATTGATAATATCTGTATTCTTATTAACAAAAATTAAGAAAATGCATATTTAAATCATTGTGAAAAACACAGTAATTCATAAGTCAGGGGAAAATAGGAAAAGGGAGCGTAACATGACTTACTGAGGAGAACATTGAATAGTAAAACTGCTATATGATGAATATTATAAAAAGGCTTGTAAAAGTAGATTTGTATGTTCTATCGAACTTTGATATATTAAAACTTCTTAAGCATTGGTTGTTCCACTATTTTTTGTCAAAATCGACTACGGTTGATGTATGTAAGAAATTTAATATACTTTGACAGACGGTAAGATTGAAAAAAAATGTAACATGCAATTGAAATTCTTCAAATTCACTCTATGTGTATTTTCATATGACATTTAATTTTGATATCAAATGAAAGCTAATACATTACTCTTTCATTTCATAGCAAATATTTACTGATATCTTCATTCAAGAATTAATTATAAGCGTTTCCGTGTTTGATAATGAAAAAGAAAAAAAATCGGAAAATCACGCTTTACCACGATTTTGCAAAAAAAAACTGCATCGTGGGAAAACTATACGACAGGGCTTAAATGATAGTATAATGTTTACTTTATCATCATGTGGATTTTCAGCCGTGAGCTATGTCGGTCCATTAAACTCTTAAAATAAACGACTTTGTCTTGATTTGTCACTCCACTATGTGTAGGATAGGTATTAATAACAATGAATAATATTTATCAAAGTAAAAAAAAAAACAACAAAATAATTATATCTTGAAAATAAAACTGTTGGCAAACATAGAAACTATCTTTAGTTCATATCTGTGGCAAAATATTGGTATATCGGTAATTATATCTGGAAAATATAAACAAATTAAATACCTTTTTTGAATAACAATATGAAATATTCAAATGTAAAATAGTGGTACAAAAATGGATATACAAATCAGCCGTCTAGTTGCTTGGTGCTAAGTATAAAACAATCAATTAGAAATTACGCGAGCTATACTTGTACTTACATCATCATTATTAAAGGACCCTTCTTCTGCTATGTTTATAAACATTCCACCTCCACCATCTTGAAATTCTGTATCAGTACCAAATCCATCCATCAGATGAGATGCTCTTAATCCTTGAATTGGAAATTCTAGAGGCTTATTATGGAATTGAATTTTGCTTGGATTGAATAGCGTTCTTTCTGTCGAGATAGAAGGGTTTAAACCTAACAGGTTCGATCTGGATTGGGAATAAGTATTATTATACAATGAATTCAAGAAGGATTTATCATTTTTACTCGGCAATTCTTGTTCTCTGTCAATATCTCTAAAACTGTTCAACGTGTGTTCTGAGTGATGATTTTTATACTGTGCTGTAGGTTTTGCCTGGTTATTCGAGTTAAAAGTTATTGGCAAATATGGGTAACTCTTAAATTTACCAAAGCTTGATTCCGTTAGCGTTCCTGAATTTTCTTTTAATGGTGGTATAACTAATATATCATTATCTGGAAAATTTGTAGGTCTCGAATGTTTTTCAGGAAAAGTTTCAAATTCTGTATCCATTTTAAAATACTCTTTGTTATTCGACGGATGAAATGTTTCAATAGTAGGTTCTTGTGGGTAATCTTTATCATTATCGTCATTTATATCCATATTCAAAACACCCGAATATTTACGTGGTTTATTTTCAAATTGCTCAGCTGGATCGGCTAAAAAAATGGTGTCAAACGGGTTCTCAAAAGTGTTATCATCAGTATATCCTTTTATAAAACCAGGATTGGAATGAAGTAAAGTTTCACCATTTTCATTAGAATTGTCTGAATTTGACTGATCAAAATATCCAAAACTATTTACTTCTAATTGTTGGATATCTGTACTTTTCTGATAAGGTCTTGATATCCTGTCATTTGTTATTTCATTTAAGTTCTTGAATATGGAACGTGAATCTTGAAATTCTTGTTCTGCAACCTTGTTTGGGTTATTTACTAATATATGTTGTTTTATTGATGGTTTCGACACAGGATTAAGAATTTGCGACTGTAGTTTTTCCCCTATATCAGCTATTGTATCAACAACATTTTTATTACTGTTTTCTTGAACTAACATACGATCAGCAGAATTATAATTTTTATCTAAGCTAGTACTACTTCTACTACTAAGTAATCCAAAACTATCTTCTGCAAGAGGCTTTCTGAATAGTTCTCCTGCTTTATTTACATTTGTTTGTTGGTTTTCGGACGTGCCTGAATGCATATGACCAGCGTCATTTAGATGTGTTAAATACATATGGGGAGACTTTAAATAAAACAGGTAGTAAGGTGGACGAACAAAGTTACGACGAACAAATGCGTTACTAGCATAGTCATTGCTATAAGATTTTAAGTCATTGAATCTTACTCGAGATTTGTCTTTGTGAACCTCTGATTTTGATTTGCTTCTTAACTTTTCAGAATGGCTTGGAAAATAAGGTGAATATTGAAAAAATCTTTTCCTGGCTGGAATTCTGTTGAAAAGAAAAAACTCATTTTGTTTATAATTATTTCCTGTCTCAGGCATCCGCCTTTTTCTCCAGAAAAAATGTTTTTTCCATAAAGGAAATGTTGATGAGTGATATGTCCTTGGTTTGTGTTTCTTCAGGTATTTAGTTGTAAATATATGGTAACTATATCCATCATACCAGCCTAAACTCAGGCAGAATTGAACCAGCGCTGATATAATTACCGGAGACAGATTCATCAAGACGGTATCTAATATCTGGTCCTAAGGCCTAAAATATAATAACAACAGTTATATTATTGATGAAAATTAAGGCACTATAAGACAATACTAAATAGGACTAAAAAACTTGGAGTCGAAGACGGATAAACTACACTTTTGGAAATCGAAAAGAAATAAAAATATCAACAAAGGGGTAAGCATTTCATGCACCACCAATGACACTTGTTTCGAAGATAAGGACATACGAAAATTCAATTCCTTGTAGTATAAAAACAATTCAGGTTTAAAACGTAGAAACGATAAAAAAGGAATAAAGATCATTAATTTTGATAATATTTTAAAATGCATTCATTTCAAAATTTATTGATTGCCTGATTGATCACCCTACTTCGGAATTTTGACCGATCTAGAAACTGCCTTCGCTTCTTAATTAATTTCCTACCTGATTGTAGAAACAAAGCACTGATGATGAATAACGTTCGATTGACTATGAAAATTGTAAATTAATATTTGTTATCTTGTACATTTCTGTCTATACAAATCCCTCTAGCGATTGATGGTGTTAATAAATACCTCTCCCACAACTATTTAATCAGCAGAAGATTTAATTGACATATTAAGAGAAAATAAGAACTATTTAGCTTTAGATTAAATTACAACAAAATATAAAATCAGCAATAAATGTAGCTTATTGTGGGGAAAAAATCAATTTCGTTTTATTAGCCATCACCAACTGAGAAATGTAGATGAAATTAAATGTCTAAATCAAATCTTAATTAACATTAAAAGTAATACCAGTTTGCATTATTTCTGTGATTTACATACCATTTTTTAATTCCTGATTGAATACGGTGCTACTCGTAAAACGTCACATCTAAGTTATTATTGTTGACATGTATGCTAAAGTTCTGGTACGGAAGCTTAATTTGTAACCACCAAGAGAAGGAATAAAAACAAAAACATTGTTTTGTTTGGAATTTCAGTGGGGTATATCACATCACCCAATATGCAAAACAAAATACCGTTGTATGTGTATTTAGCGTTTCAGTTTTAATACAAACTCCCATTACTAAAAATTTGTAGTCAAAGAAGTTATTTGAAATTATAAACTCAGGGTAAAGAAATGTATGAACAATTTGCTGCATGCAATTGGAAAAAAATAAGGTTTTTGTTTTAAGTGAACACATTTGTGTCCGAGATGGAGCAAAGGTAAAAGGTTAAACAGGACGACGGAAAGAACGACTGATTATATTTTCTCTTTTTTTTCTCAAGAATATTACACAAATGGACATCAGTATGACGTAAATTCTCCCACGGGGTTGTACTTAATTCTATAACTGTTAAAAGCTTTCTCAGCTTTCATCGTCAAATTTAGAGTTTTAATTATTATTTTTGTTTAATTAATATCCTTTTAACTAACAAACAAAATGGCATTTACATTATTTTTATCTTTCCTCTATTAGGCGAAAATGTTTGTTTTTTTAGCTTAAAAGGAGTAGAAATTGAAAATAAAGCGACCAAACAACTATAAAATCCGCGTTCAAAGTAATAAATGTAAGGTCGATAAGTTTAAGCCAGAAGTGAAATGATATCAATAGTAAGCGAAAACAAAAAATTGGCTGGTGTTTAAACAATATCTGCAAAGTTCAAATAGATGTCTAAACTAGTGCATGATTCAAAACATAGAGTAACTGCACTAAGATTGATATTTTGACAAGTGTTTAATACTGGTATCTTACAACATGTTCTTTTATGAAAAAAAATACAGCCATGATACATATTCCTGGTAAATCTTAAAAAGTCAACTAGTCGCAGCTGATATGATTGGTGTAATCATATACAAACTTCACATATATTAGATAATTTTATATTCATTTTGTATCTAAAGCAAACTTTACATTTAACGACCTTTCATTTATTATTCCTGCAAAACTGTCTTAGTTTGATTGATTAGATATAGACAAGAATATGACAAGTCTCACTATGAGTAAAAGGGAGTGTGGGATCACAAAACCATCAGCACGTCACAAGAAATAATCGTAGGTGGCATTGACATTTTTATCATCGTTCCTCTATTTGGCAACAATGTTCGTTTCTTTAGATTAAAAGGAGAAGAAATTGAAAATAAACAAAAAATAATACATTTTTCTTACTTCTGGAGCACCTGACATTATTCCTCGTTTTTTTGTTTTATTTGTATAATTCTCAGTCTTAAATAATTAATATATTGTGTTTTGTAGACTTTGTTCGTTTTCCGTTTTTTTTAATAACGTTCTTAGCTTCTTTTTGTCTTATTACTTCCATAATGATTCAAACTTGACAGTTTGGAAGATGGCGAATATGTAGCAAAATTATGAAGGCGACGGTATACGTTATTGCTGGCCATGTTTATCTAAATTGGTTGTAATATCAATACCTCATAGACTATCTATATTGTTAATTTTCGTCCAATGTAAAGATAGAAATTCAAGATTATTATATGATACAGACTATAAGCGTCCTCATTGTAATAGTATTCTGACAATTTAAAACCATAGGTTATGTCGAAATAGTGGTCACTGCATGCAATTCCAAATGCAAACACACGGCAATAATAAATTACAGTGTTACTGCCGGAAAACATCTAAATAAGATGTATAGATTGTCATTATTCATAATGTTAAGCCATGTCTTAATTTTCTTCCGCAAACCTTACAGGACAGGATTTACAAAACCCACATATCCTAACAAAGGTTTGAATTATAATTTAAAATAGAATAATAATTACTGTGACGTAAAATAGTTAACTACTCATTTATATATTACATTTATTTTGAACAGTTTGAATGAAAGGAAAGCATTACGCAAACAAATCGGATATCTTGTCGTATTATTATCAGTATAACAAACCAATGCATATACATATATTATTTATTGATTAATTGATGTTTAACGCCTCTTTCAGCACTATTATGTTATTTCGTGGCGGTAAGTTTTTATTTGTGGAGGAAGCCGCAGTGCCCGAAATAAACCACCATCAGTAGGAAAATTGACAATCCTAGTCAATTAAGATTGTCGTCGTCTGCACCTGCTACGTATGGGATTCGAACTCAGAACCTCATTTATGACAGGCAGTAGTTCGACTACTTAGACCACGCGGCCACCGAGACTCATTGCATAAATTAATTCAAACAGAAATTAATTTGAGGAAATTGATGATTTTACATTTTTATTTCAAGATTTTTCATGCAAATTTAATATGTAAAACTTTAATATTTAAGGCAAACAAATATTCATTAATTTCTTTTTTGGCTTCTTACTATATGAATATCACTCAAAATGTGCGTTATATGCAATAACAATCAACTATGATAATTGTATGATGGTTTTAAATCATTTAAATAAAAATTAACCTGGCAACTTCATATTCATTTTTTTGACAAAACACGGGCTGTATTGGATTTGCGCCAAATTGCAGTCACAATTACCATTTGCGCAAACAAATCAAACTTCATTTGCGTCATTTGAAAATGATAGTTCAGATCACATTCCTTTCGGATGATTGGTCGTTTATTAAGTTTATTTGAAAACAACAAGTACCTGGGTTTCAATGGCTTTATGTGCACGTTACATGAACTTTACACTACCACAGTGCACAGGAACTGTTGCTCGCAAATATTACATCATGACTATAAATTTATAATTATATGACGGCAATGTGGTTGCTGTAATATCGTAAACAAACAAATTGAAGTCTAATATTACATGATGTTTCAAATAATTTTAGAACCTTCAAAACAAATTAACCTTCTCGAAATCGCTCTTCCGCCTGCTGCGAGCGAGCATGTGACAAATTACAGACTTAAGGGGTATTAGCTTTAGAAACCATTTCATCATGTCATAATAAAACTAATAACTGTATTAACATTGGGGCAATTTAACAACTTTTTATTGGCGCAAATGAAAACATGTTTTGCCGTAAATGCAGAAATACCGACTGATTCCGAGGAATAAGGATTTTATAGGTAATGTTTTGGACATTTTTCATCTATTTTATGTCATTGGAAGTGGTTATCTATTTTCAGTACATTTATTTAAGCCTTATATCGCATATAAAGTACTAAGATATTTTGTTTTCGTTTTGAAGATGATTTTGATACTTGTTTCTAGTGTTGTCAAGTTTAAGTTCACCATGTCCAGGTTATTTGCAAATTGGACAAATATCAAAATGTATATCTTTTTCGTTGTGTTATGAATCCTTATCCTGAGGGATATAAGCTATGATAGAAAATTATTGATGAAATGTATTATTTTTGTTTTAACTTAAGGATAAATTTTTGTAATTGGATAATTAAAAACAACATAAAATTGAATGATAAAAACCTCTAACAAAGGAAATCTGAGATGAAATAAGAACCAATCGTGTTTAGTACAAATCTAGGAATTTAAGTGCTACGTCGTAGCAGTGATACCATATACAAAAAAAGAAGAACTCTTTGCTGCTGTTACGAAAGATGGATAGAGTCATCTGTGATGCAGATAGTCCGATATAGTATAAGCAAACTTTCCCATTTACCATTAAAAACCGTTGGTGTAATACCCTTCTTGGAAATCTTTATTGGTAAAGCAAACTCAGAAATATTGCATCAAGCAGGAGAATTATGCTCCATATACAAGAGCTGCTGAAATGTGACGATTTAAAGTACAATGCCTTTAAATGCAAATCAATGTTTTTCGTTATTGTGATATGATTCCTTATCTAAAGAACATCTAATAGTATAGCACAAGTAGCGTGTGTATTATTATGCAAAACATTTGTTATTAAGTTTGTGTAAGTAGGAAGCCCCAATCAGGAAGGATCTAGAGAATAATAATAAAACTATATCCATAACAAGCCAAAAAACAATATTTGATAAGAATTCTTAGAGGGACAGATTTGTTGCAATACGTTTGGACATTGATAACTGCAGGCTAATTCGTCAAACTCGTGACAACCACTTCCAAAGATGATGAGTTTTTTCATTGTCAAATTCACTGATAAGGAGTAGGTTGCTACCCGTATAAGC